CATGATAGCTTCTTGTTTTGGCTATCATTAATGTACAAGTTTAACTTGTTATTTAAACCCTAAAGCTTAACTACCTGTTCGGTAGGAATGGGTTCAGCATATTGTAAACTTTTTATCGTGTTTTTTTTCTAAGCTAATGATTCTCAAATTGATAGTGTCCAATTAATTTTCGCAGCCTAGTGACTTAACTTAACTGTAAATTAGTCGGAAATGCCAAACGGAAATGATCCTGGATGGATAATATATATATTGCCAGTTTCAAGCTACAACCTCTGTAAAGTTCGAAAGATTTCCAAATATTTTGTAATAATTAAATAATCACTTTTAAATTTCAATCGAGAGAAAAAAAATGTAGAGGACTGCAGGCTCCTACAGGTTTAAAAGAAAGGAAAGAAATAGTTATTTCTAAGCCATTGTTCCGTTTTATACGCTCATATTTGTTGAGCACACTTTTGGGCTGAGCACACTTTGTAAACCAGTACCAGAGGTGGCAACACTGCCAAGCGTTATTCCTGGAAATATTTGAATTTTAGACAAAGGCGACTTATTGCAATTTGCTTTGCAATCTTAAAATGGGTTTTTGATCTCTTCCTTAAAAATACGACATCAATAATGTTGTGGTTGTCTTGGAAATGATTATGTCTGATTACATGGGAGGTCTTGCATAATGATTACGTAATCATTTTATATATATTTTTAAAAAAATCACCGTACCATGCGTACAAGAACGCACGTTTGAGTCATGACAAAAATACGGGTGTTCGATCTCTTCTTTAAAAACACGACATCAATAATGTTGTGGATGTCTTGAAAATGATTACGTCTGATTACATGGGAGGTCTTGCATAATGATTACGTAATCATTTTATATATATTTTTCAAAAATCACCGAAAAAGTAATTACGTAATATATGGACAGCCCCTTATGTCAGTGAAGTCTTTTTCTGGGGTATACATTACAATTTAAGGGACGTATTTTAGTTTACCATGCGTACAAGAAAACTTCCCTGAAACTGATAAGACCCAAGTTTTTGATTCTTAGTCATTGAAATGCACACAGTCATTTGGAAATTTCAAAAATGCAATCCAATTCCTGTCAATCACATTCGTCCAGAGATGTGGTTCTACGTACATTCAAAATACTTTCTTTGTTCGAAATGCCGCTTTCTGCGTGATTCGTGGGGATGAGCCCATAGATTTAAATTGTGCGTCAGTTTTTTGGCTGACGATCTGGGGCCTGTTGACTCATTGGATAAAGAGGGCCACCGGGGGTATTTTTTTCTCTTTTGGAAATCACTCAGCCATGGAGCTGCTTTTACATAGGTGTGAACAGAACGCAAGAATTATACTCGTAAATTATACATCGAATACCTCGACTTCGGATCGAGCTAAAAGCTCTCTGTGTGGTTTTCAGGGTAGGGCGTTAAAATGTCGTTCAGCGCCAGCCAAAAATTAAAATCTTTTGTTTTATTACCCACAACCTGTTGGTTAATATACAAAGTATGCGGTGGTTTCATTACTCGGATTTTTCGGTCGACAGGTCGGCATTTCTCATGCAAATCGGATGTGGAATTTTAATGTGTACTTGTTTTTATATTAATTGTCTGTTTCTCTTGCCATTGAGTGAGTGAATTCAATAAATTGCACGTTGGCCGTGTGACACTTTCTCGGCGATAATGAGCCAAACTCCTCCGAATGTGATTAATGGACCTGTTAAATGGAAATCACTGGATGCCGTTTTCCCAGATGGACACATCAAGGCGAGGCGAGAGCAACGGACGAGTCCAGGGAAAGCGGAGAGCCGAGTGCACTGGATGCATATTTTAATTAATTACTCGGATACAGATACATCTGCCCGTGGGCGGGGAAGGTCAATTGGGCTGGCATTTCCTGCCCATTTGGCCATAAGTCGCACTTCGGTGTGTGTCATGTTGAGAAAGTTTGGGGCTGTGTAAAACACAATTAGTAATTGCTTTGATTTCCTGCCTGTGGAGGAACGTGTTCGATTTCGCACGCTTGGGAAATGGTAGTATGTAAATCGCATGTCCGACCATTTTGGATCAGCCGAACACCTCAAATTGAGTCATTGTAAAATGGGAAGTGATACCCCCACCCCTGAGTGCACTAACAAAAATGATAAGCCCATGTTATGAGGCTTTGTAGAATATACGACTTGTGAGTTGGATACATCTATAAAAGTTTGTAGCTGGACTTTGATATTCTCTGTATTTTAATACTACTGAGTTTGCTGGCGTTATTTTATGATGTTCTCAAATGGCTTGGTTATGAAGTTGTAAATTTGATATACATTTAAATGTATCAATCTAGGTAGCTGCATTTTTCCGAATGATGAGATATGAAATGGGAATGGAAAAATATGCTTTTATACTAAAAAAAAATTATTTACTCTTCAAAATCATCAAATAAAGGTGAAAAGGTAAAGTTGTTTCATAGTATATCTTATTTTCGAACATAACCAGTTCGACCTTTAAAGACATTTCATTTAATATCTTCTATATAAACACATACATTTTTCAGTGTAGGCTCAGGAACGCCATTCATTTGTAGACACGCATATAAATAAATAAGTTTCCCCATATCGGCCCGACGTCCATGCCACCACCCACACAAATAATGCAATACTAGTACGAGCAGCCCGACAGGCGGACGCATCGGAGATACCCATACCCGTATTCCGTACCCGTAGTCGTACACACTCCATAATTGATATATCACGAACTTGCTCCCGGCGATCTTAAATCGAGGACTGCTCTTCCGACCGGCCCAAGTGGGATGGAAAGAGCTATAGATACGCTTATCAGCGCTCGTGGAGAAAGGCAATAAACATGATAGTACTCCGCTGAGTCACTGACATTAAAAAGTTACTAACCTTTCTTATGCTGTCGCCGATCCGTATTATCGTCTCTTTCCCTTCCGCAGGAAACAGTCGATAACTGACTTCTCGATCCTGACCATGGAAACCGCAACCCAGAACGGCTATACGTATATATTAAGTAATGAACACAGAGACCTATTCCGCCGAAACCCACATATCTTCCATTGAGTAATAAGCAAACACCTTCGAACCGATAAGCCAAAAATGAAGTGATTCCGTAGCCTCGAAAATTACGCACCTTTCGAGGGCTGATCATGTGTCACTGCCATTTGTTCTTAATTTAGGTCAGCTGCAGAGCAGAATCGGTTTTGCATTCGTTTTCGTGTTCAATTATCACTTGAACTCAAGACCTCAGTCTAAGTTCAGAAATTGCCGGCAAGTTGTTTCGGATATCTGTGGGTACAGTGCTGTGCGACTCAGTAAGATCAAAACCGATAGATATGATATGATATACGTTCCGAATCTAAAAGGTTGAACTACATATATCAGAATTCTAGTTAAATACCTGATTTCAAGACTAGTCCTAGATTTTTTTAAGTTTTTAACAGGGCTGACCATTATCATTTTGTCAAAATTATCTTATTTTTTGGCTACAATTAGTAAGCTGGGTTTATTCTTGATCTACGCACGTAAAACCCGTAAATTTGTTCCACTTTCCTTCTAGTCATCAATAGACAAGATCAACTTGAATGTGTTGTAAATTCAATTTAAATAGACATTGAACATTATCATATCATTTTTATCAAGGTTGTTTGTGCTACGGAATTATCAATGACTTTCTGGGATTCCCTAATGTTGTGATAAAGTTTCTGATACTGTTGAGTAGTACGATGAGTAACCGGCTAGCAGTCAATATTCGTGCGTAAATTGATTAGCCGTTCATTCAAAAATAAAACCGGTACGCGGAATGAGGCACAGAAAAATGGGAAACCAAAATGAAACCAACCAAAATTCGTAGTCTTTTTTAAATTTCTTTTATTCACAACATACTCCATTGAAAAACATATAAAATCTTAGATCCTAAAATATACCATTTCTTATTTAATCCGTCACCATTTTCAACTCTTTTAATTTTCTTGGCTTTGACACAGAACTGCCATATACACCATCTGCTTTGTATGTATTGTGCAATCTGTGGTGGCTCGAGTCTTGGTAAAACCGTGTTGTGTCTAAAATTATTTAGGTAGCCAAAATCACAGACACCCACAACGATCATATGCTCTCTCTTAAAAACTTTTAAGAGATACACCGAAAAATAATCTATACAAAAGAAAAAAGGGGTATTTTATAAAAAAGAGTTCAATAAAAAAAGTTAGGATTGTTAACATTTAGAAATTTAAAAAAGATATTGGAAATTATGTTTTCCGTTTTTCTTTTTCGAAAATACTTATCAATGTAATATGTACGTCGCGATTGAAGTTGAAAATAGTACGCAAACTTATAAAATTCTACATTTTCATAGACTTACTAAGTTTAAAAAAGATTTGTCAGTTACCTAGGAGTGAAAGACCTAAAACATGATATTATTGTTAAATTTAGGTGTAGTCTTTTCCAGTCAAATTACTGCTTGTACATACTTTTCCTAAATTTCGAAAACATTGATGTAATTTGAATCTTCAGTGCACCATGTAATTTTAAACTGATACATCTCATAAAATGCATTCTCTAGCTATTTAAAACATGTCATGTATTTTTTTTTAATCAAACAAAAAAATGTACAAGTTTTTTTTTGGCTTTCTTTGAACAATCACTTCGAAATTATGCAAGTATTACCAATATAGGTAATAATAGTTTTGAAGAGCTTAGATGTTTCTGTACATAGTAAGTAAGAGTAAGTAAGTATATAGTAAGTAAGTATATAGTAAGAAAGTATATAGTAAGTATTGATCAAGACATATTTTGCTTTTCTTTCTGTGCACTTTTAAGAGAGCGCGAATTACATGCGTTTTTAACCATTTAGAAAACGAACGTTTTCGAAAATTACAACGATCGCTTTCTCTTGCACTCTTCTCTCGCGTTGTGAGCGGGAAAAAAGAGAAGCGACCCGCTCTTTGAGCTCTTTGTGCTCGCGGTGGCAAGTCGCTTCACGTCGCGTCAAGTCCACAGTCACCGCCAGAACTTCACGCGGTAAACCCGCTTTTTAGCGGTCTAACGACATTTTTCAGTTCGAACAACACAGAAATAAATAAATGTGAAAATCAAAAAAGTCAACGGGATTTATGCTTACACGAAAGACGCGAATAAAGAGAGCACCGCCCACCCGCCCACTTCTTGTCTATTCTTTTGTGGGGGCGCGAACAAAGCCGCGAAACGGTTAATGGTTAACGGGCAACGGGAATCGGGAATCGGTATCGGGAATGTACTAAAAAACGAAAGAACAAGGAAAGTCTCTCCTTTGTGTAGGCACTGCGTGCTAATTAATTGTCTTTTTGTGACCAAGTGGCTAATGTGCATTTGATATTGAAATTCACGTTTAAATTCAATCCAGCCCAACCCAATTCAACGCCCCTGCTCCTGTTTGTCCCCCCATTCGTATGCGTCATATGTAAAAGAGCGGAAAAAGGGCGAAAAGGAGAGAGAAAGCCAAGAAGCAGTGGCCACAACAAAAGCAGCAAACACAGAACAAGAAGCGCAAAACAGAACAACAAGGGCACCCCCCACCCTGCAACTCCCCCCCCCCCATTGTTGTTGTTGCTGTTGCTGCAGCTGTTTTATGCTGCCGGCTATTTGTGTGCGTGCCGCCAATGCGCATGTGTGTCTGTGTCAACCCCCGCGGACAAAAAACCACAACGAAAACAAAGCAAAAGTGAAAAGTTCTATTCCCTGTTTATCATCTGGAATCGTTAGTCCGGCCCATCAATTAATTAGGCCTCGAAAGAAAATAAAGAAAAATTGTTGTGATCCGAGTGATCGAGGAAAAGTTTTAGAGTGTTCTTTATACCGGGAAAGAAAGAGAGCTGGAAAATCTAGAAAAATGAGTTCCACAAGTGTCGTCGTCGTTCTGCTAGCACTCGTTCCTCTGGCCTCGTGCATCCAGGACCTGTCCCTCCCACACCAAAGATCTCCGCCCACCTCCGAGCAGCTGGACATGCAGACAACCAAGCCCCTCTCCCACGATATTTTGGTGAGTTTGCCGCATATCCTATACCTATTAAAAAATAGAGCTGTTTTCCTTAGTCCTACGTTTCAAAAACATAGAAATTATAATAGTTCTAATGTTATTTTGATATTTTTATAATCTTTAATCAAAGCAAATCATAATATTACAAAATATAAACCATTTTCACATTTGTAGCTTTTATAAATCGCTTCGAGTGTCCTATCTCCCATTGAATTTGTCAATTATTCACTTAAATAACGCACAAATATAATCAATCAGTGCATAACTGATGATAAATGCTTAAACACTGTTTGACACAATTACCCATTTCAATAAAAATGCATCAATTATTAACTTTTGAACCCCCTACAGACAGTTGAGTGGTTTTATAAAGTCCGTAAATGTTTGCGATACAAATTGGAACAGTCATTGCTACTGCTCTGGCATAAATAATTAAACTTTATAAATAGGAAGACGTAAAATAAACCATTATTTTTTTTGGGAAAGGTAGAACAGCTACAGTTTTAAATCAGCATACATAAGGAGCATTCTCATTAGAGTGGCAGTTGCATCTTCAGATAGTCAATCCGTATCTATATGTACGGGAGCAGACAGTAAATTGGGGCTGGGGTATCGAGATAAGGCGGATCTGGAGGCCCCGAACATCCCCTCTTCACTCCGCGATGCAGATGCTGCTGGGCTGCTCATGCCTATGACCTGAAAATCCCAAAACGGTCTACATATGCATAAACAGCACGAGTCATGTTTATAATACGTAATGGATCACATTATAAAAGACAATTTTTAAACTGTTCAAAACATTTTAAAGAAAATTTGTAGATCCCATACGTTTTTATCTTTTGGTTTTAAGTCATTGTATATTTTTAAAGTTATAACTGTTTGAAACTGCCTAAAATTATTTCTGTAGATTGAACTTATAATTATTATGACAAGAAAATTATAAATTTTTTGCAAAATACACATTTAAATCAGAGCTTTCGATGTTAAAAAAAAACTATGTTAATACTCAAATCAGGAAATTTAAGAAAGTTTTGTAATAAACAAAATAATAAAAATTAAACATTTAAGAACATTAAGAAAGAGAAATCAAATTTTTCAATAAAATCCTCATTTCATTACGCGGAAGAGCCTTGTTGATATTAAGTATGTCATTTATTTTCCTGAAAGAAGATCGTGTTAACCTTTCGAAACGCACTTTACATGTGTGCATTCAGACGCCACGAGATGGGGGCCCCCAGTAGTGCTGCAGTTCGTACTGCACAATGCTCGCTTATTGTTTGGGGCCATGCATCCCAATCCCATGGCTCTTAATGCATTTGTGGGTCCGTGCCCCCCTTCGTCGCCGGCCATGCAGGGCCCTCGCCACTAGGACATTTGCTCGCGGATTGCTGCAGTTAATGAGCGCGGGCGCCTTTTTAATCAGAATAACAAAATATGAGCAATTTACCCATTATGGCTGCCTTTTGTTTTTGTTTTCTGTGTGCCAAGGAGTCGCCGTGGAATTCTTTAAGGCGCGCCAGGACATTGAACCCGCGCCACTGACTCAACAGCGCCAGACATGCGAGCCGGCCAGGATGAACTATTTATGTACTCCGCCAGTCGGCCATTCAGCCATTCAGCCAGCCGTTCAGGCGGTTCTGCTCACATGGCAGGCCGAATCTTGGCGTTTATTAAAGTGCGAAAGCCGTAATTGAAGGGTCTGTAACGTTTGGGTAAAATAAGAAAGATTGAACGAAGTAGGGCGCATATAAGCCCTGTTTCGAGGATGTAAGGCAAAGACTATTATAGGGGTTTTCTTAGAATTAAAACAATTTACTTTAACAATCAAAACTATTCTATACAACGCTTTGACAGGAAATATTAAAAAATAAAAGATAGAGCTGTAAGACAACAATGATTATGGGGATTTTCCTAGAATTTATAAAATTTACAAACATCTCAGTGAATATGTTTAATATTAAAAGATATTTGAATATTCAAACTGTTGACTACGTGACTCATGTGACTCAAAACCGTACCATATCATTTTAAAATACTGGCTACTTATGTACATCTCATAAGAGAACTTCCCCATATCCCTCTAGTGTTTTAATCTTATAATGTGTTATAGTGATAAAAGTGTTACAGTTGACCCCATGAAATCCCCAATTACAATTAAGATATAAATATAAACTGTTAAAATTTAATATATAAATTTATTTTTAAGTATAGTATAATGTTAAACGATTAAACTTACAAAACCTAAAGATAGAATATTGCTAGGGTATCGTATAGTATTCCTGGCATTTTATCCCTGAAACGGTGTTTAGGTCGAGGTCGTCACACAGCCCGCATATTGTTTATTTAGTAAGGATATCGAAAGCGATGGATGTCGCCGCTCTTCAGCTGCCCGTTGGATGAGGCGAACATATGCCATATAGAGATAGGTACATATATGCATATGGATATAAGGAGCACTATATATAGCTGTGATATGAGCGGAACTGGGAAGAAAAGAACTGAGTTGGGAAGTCGACTCGGCTCGAGTTGAGTTTGGTTGGGTTGAGTTCGACTGAGTGTCGCCAGCTAGGCGATGCCATGAAGTCAATAAATGCACTCGTACTTCCCATCCATCACCCCCCCTCACACACACACACACACACACTCACGACCCACTCACACACTCGCTGGATTGTTCGAATACACTCACGCTTATGAGTGGCGTGTAATCAAATAAATGATGAAAATGGAGCCAAGACGAAGCGAAAGATGCGGTACACTGTGGAAAAAGACAGGGTTTACTTGTTGAAAAACTAAATATCTACTGGAAATTAATAGGTTTTGAAATACCTCTTTTGAGTGCCCAGAAGTAGGCAATACTATTTTATATTTAGATAATAGTATTTTCTATGGATACACATAGTACTTATTCAGTAAATAAATAAATCTGTTAGGAACATAAAATTATAACTTAACTATAACTTATAATATAATATTCCTTATAATATCTCCAAATAAACTTAACAACTTCTATGTTTTACCGTGTAGTGGGTTTATTGTTCGGGGTGTTAGGGGAGGGCCTTGGATAGATGGATGGAAGGAGTGGGGCTGGCGGGTGGCAGGGTCACGGCACTGCAGTGCGGTTGCATGCCCCAGCGGAAGTAGTCCGGAAAATGTACAAACACACATAGAAAGTGAAGTGAAGTTAACTTATCTGCACAACCACACACATTTGCATGTCGCCACGCACAAGCGTCTATATAAAACTGTGGATATATCTGTCTGGAGAAGAAGGGCCTCCCGAGATATATATAAGATCCCGCTGCCACTGACACTGAGACAGGGACAGGGACAGAATAAAGACAGAGATAGAGAGAGACAGCCCTAACAAACTGTTGCAAATTTGCTTTCGAGTTTTCGCAAAATTCTAATTGGCACAACTAAGGAAACAGCAAAAGGAAGCGTTGTCATCCGCAGACTTTGGGGACTTTCAACTTCGTGTTTGTATTTGTAATTGCTATTTGCGGCCGGGGTCTTTCTGCCACTCGAGGGTGGTTTTCTAATGAATTCCGCAGAAGAAAGCACAAAGAAGTTTTGGTCAGTGGCAGGAACAGGTGTTTCCTGTTCGTCATGGGAAACGAAAGCGATCGGAACGTGTGCATGATTCATTTCAAATTCGAAGAAGACCTCTGCAATTTCTTGAGAGTTCCAAACACTTTTGAGGCATGTTTCCAAATATTGCCAGCTGAGATAATATACAATGTGAGGTTTTCAATACTATATTTGAACACCATTATATTAGATATTTAGAAGCACTAGCCATCATTATAAAGTATAAGTATAATTCGGAATGGTATGTCAGGCAAGATGACCTTTTCAAAAATTCAATATTGAATGATTACTAAAGGCTTTCTCCTATATGGAAAATTTCCAGTAAGAATCCCTGCCATGATGCACAATCCTTATTTATGCAGCCGTTTAAGGCAGTTTGCACAATGTAGTTATACGCTTTATTACTCATTTTTAATTGATCCATTGTCGGGCCCACCGAATTCCTTAATATTCATCAAATTCCTCATTTTCGGAATGCAATTAACGCAGTTGCAACTGATGGAAGTCATTCTGGGCATTTTCGTTGATTGTTTTATGGCTTCCTGGTAGGAGGGCCAGTCCCCAGTTCGAAATGCAACCCTCCCCGATCGGTGGCATGACTTTTATGGCACTCTCAAGACAGGGAAGGGCAACCCCGAGTCTCTGACAAAAACAATCGGCCACTTAATAGGCTTATGACAATTCTTGGAGCGCCAGTTGTATGTGCCGAGCGGTAACAGTCATATAGAGGCAGCCAGATCGGATCGTATAATTTTTAAATGCCAACTCCATATGCGATAATCTGAAACAGGAACAGCGAGGGAGTGATTCGAGTCAGATCCAACTTGGTACAGATTAAAATTGCCGCTATTAATTAGCCGGCGACGATCTCCAGGCACATTAAGTCTCAAGTCAGAGCTGCTGATTCAGTGTTGTTCCGAAAGTCGTGGGGATTTTTAATAAATTGATCCGTGCATTAATGTTATTATCAATTACAATAACAGATATTTCCGCTCGAATCGTTGACACCACACCGATGCCCGTTTCATTCGAATAAATTAACATTTTTGTAAGGTAATTTGTCAGCCAATGAGTGCGACCCACTGACAAATGCCGCCTGACACCTGTAAAATGCGTTAATGAGACCTGCCCGGCTACTTGGACAGCTAACTGAATCGATTCGAGAGTAGGAAATCCCTGATCCCATATTAAGTCAATGACTAACAGCTTTATACCACTTTTTGCGTGTCATGGGAATATGGAAACAATGAAGGCATACGTTTAGTGATGAAATATATATTTAATTTAAAGATCGTGATTCACAGCTTATCAAAACTGACAAAATTAAAAAATAAGTATTATCAGCCCTACGTGATATGGCCTCTTAAAAGGCAACGAAAAAGGTAGTATACGTAGCTTGAAAATAAAAAAGA